TGCCCCTTCCCTGTCACACTCCCCTCTCTGACACGCCCCCTTCCCTGTCACACCCCTCCCTGACACGCCCCCTTCCCTGTCACACCCCTCCCTGACACGCCCCCTTCCCTGCCACACTCCCCTCCTTCCTTCCTTTTGTTGATCCCTTTTTCTTCACACCTCATTCCTCATCACTCCCCCTACCACACAGAGCACCCCTACCCCTGTCCCATTTTCCTATTTTCCTTCCAGCCCCCACACCCTGAATTCGGTGAGGTTCCCCTTCTCCTGACGTCTGGCTAACACACTTATAGGCGTCACTTCCTGGTCACCCGAAAGATGGCAAATTTTACCAAATTAAACTGAGCCTTTTGTAATTAAACTGAGCCATTTTGTCCTAGTTGTTTCTGATCCCGTTTTTGTTGTGATTTGGTTGGATTTATTTTAGTACTTTGTCCACAGAGCAAGCGGGGTCTTGGGACAGGTTCCCTGCCAGTCTGGGGCTTTGATGGAGCTGGTTGCTGTTGAGTTTTGCTGCCTCCTTGCCCATGTTTAGCTGAATGGTGCCCTGTGCTGTCAATGATTCTCGCCACTGTTATGAATCTTTTCCTGACGGATCTCGAAGGCCGGTAACACTGCCTGTGTTGTTGCCGCAGTCGGTGGGCTAATGATGTCTCACATGGTATCCATGGGAATGCATGGAGTTTGGTGCCATCGCAGTCCATACCGGTGTGGTGCTTGGCTTCAAGGTGTGGTCCAAGTTCTCCTCCAGCTTTCCGGAAAGAAACCGGTGAAAATCTGTCGGCAAAACAGAGCTCTGTTTCTGCCGTTCGGAGTGGGGGTGCAGCGGCCAGCTGCCGGACGGCTTCTCGTTAATGATTCCTGGCTCAAAATCTTGTTACGTGCGGCGCTTGTGGCTGCCGCACTCCCTGCTTGTTTCGCCGCTCGCCCGGAATCGGCGGCAGCCCGCAAGGACTGGCAGCCATCGGGCGATGATGGCGGCTCCCAGCAGCCCTCGCCTCAGCCTGTCTGAACCGGTATCACTGCCGTACACTTGCCGGCACAGTGGTGGGAGGACGCGAGGCGATTCTTATTTTAAAAATGGAAATGAGACAGAAAAAAATGTGGCATTCCTGCTTCTCTTTAGACATATTCGTACACAGTTCTTCTGAGTCGGAGCCAGGAAACTTCACGATTACATTCCTACGTAAAAGTTTGGCTGCAGAATATGGCAAATGACATAACCAGAAATAGTGCGGTTGGCAGCCTGGCCTTAACTAGGAATTATCTTGTTTGTCCGCTACGTCTTTAAACCCTTTAAATGGATGTGAAGTGAGGCCTTTCTGCATGATCCTGGAGGTAAATCCAGGTGGGGGTGACAGCAGAGCTAAAACAGACCAAAGAGCAGCAGGATGCCCAGGCTCGCCCGGTGAACGGGTGTCGCACTCTTGAGCAGGTGACTTCTGCGGTTTTGGTGATTTTAAGTTAGGGGGTGCAGTGTGTGTGTTGGGGGTGAGTGATAGTGTCTTTAAATGTGAATGGCTGGGGGGTAGGGGGGCTTTAGATGACAGGCACTTGGTAATCCTGATGACGAAGCCTCCACATTAGGGCTCCTGCCAAGAGCTGCTTCAGTCCAGACCAGTCGCTCTCTCCGATGACGAGCAGACGGGGTTGGCTCCTGGCTCGGGCTGCACCGCCACAGTGTAAGTGATGCTGATGGGCCCTCTCCCTGCTCCCCACCCCCAGCGTCCGAGCCCAACCTGAAGGTGCGCTCCCGGTTAAAACAGAAGGTGGCCGAGCGGCGCAGCAGCCCCCTCCTCAGACGCAAGGACGGCACCGTCATCAGCACCTTCAAGAAGAGAGCCATCGAGATCACAGGTATAGCCCACATGCAGCCGAGGGCCGCCAGAGTCCCGCTGCTCGCCGTCCACCTTCGCCACTTCATTAAGATGAAAACATCTTCAGTCACCACATTTTTTGATGATATCTTTTTGTTCAAAGCTCTGCAAATGGCTCTCCTTGACAAATTAAACAAAAGTTACTCACATCGGTCTTTAAGACAATTAAGTCAAATCAATAAGTTGCAGCTCTTTTGGTTTTTTTGCTCTCTTAAGGAGCTGTGAGTTTCCTAAATACCTCATCAGCATCCAGTGAGTGAAGTAACATATGAAGGTGTTTTTTTTTTTGGTAATCCCCTGCTTTTAGTTAAATTTTATTGTTACATGTTTATCAGCGAGTCAAGCGGCATTATCGCAGCATTGTGTAGAGAGACCCCCGACCATGTGACACTTGAGAGGTCCCCAGAATGTGGCTAATCTTTTTAATAATATGCTGGGCTGTAAAGTTAACTATAGCATTCTGATTATATCGGTTCTGGATAATAATTACCCAGCTCTGAGATTTTTATAAACCCACACAAACTAAAAAAAAATGTTCATATGAAAACCATAGACTGTAAAAACTGGACTGTACCCAAAGCGTCGGGGGGGGAGGGGGGGAGTTAGTCTTGCCGCACATACAGGGAGGGTGGTAGCATTTAATGTGTTAGGCCATCGTTTTGTTGCTGTATCCCTAATGAGGCCAGAGGCTGCGGATAAAAATAGCCCTGGCTATTAGGGGCCCGGCGGGGCCACAGGGGCCACAGGGCCGCGTTTGTTGAAGTTTTGGAAAACAAGCAGATGGTTTACATTTTTTTCATTTTCAGGGAGGACGCTGAGGATTACTAAAATAATCCCCCTGGAAGGGGAGAGGGTCAGCTGAGGGACTGGGGCAGAGGAGCGTGTGGGCAGGGTGGGGGGGTTAATGTTCGGTGAAGGACGGGGAAATTCAGCAGCACCTTTGGAATTTCCCCCTCTGAATTCAGTCTGGGGTTTCAGCACCTGAATTTAGTGTGTGTGTGTGTGTGTGTGTGTGTGTGTGTGTGTGTGTGTGTATACGAGACAGGCACAGAACGCTCAGTTGCCACAATGAGATGCTGCCAAGTACAGACTGATCCGCACAGGATGACCCGTGGTGCCCAGCTGTAGGGAGATGTGAGAAGCCGCGTATGAAAGCGCGCTTCCTCTTTAAGGGCTTCCAAGCACATTTACAGAGAAAAAACAGCAATATTTCTAGGAAGCGCTTGCATCTCGGTGGCAGCGCAGACCCTGATGGGGGCACTGCCATCCCCCCCGGATGCTGTTAATTTAACAGCATCAAACAAGCCGCTCGTAGCACCACATGTTGACGTCCCCCCCTCCCCCCCGCTGGGAGGAGGTACCACGTGACATTAGAGGGGGGGGGCGGTTTCTGAGGCCTGCGCTTGTGTCCTTGCAGTGTCCTCCATGTGCAGCAGCGCCCCTGGCTCTGGGCCTAGTTCCCCCAACAGCTCCAACAGCGCCATCGCCGAGAATGGGTCCAGCGGCTCTGTGCCCAACATCCACAACAAGGTAAGGGAGGCTCCCCCCCCACCCTCCCGCTTCATAGGCCGGCAGGCTGAGCGACCAAAGAACCGCTTCAGTAATAACATTAGGGTAATTATTATTAATTATCATATGAGGGTACCATATTTGGGTAATTATTTTAAAATGGGTAATTAACTGTGTAAGTTGCTTTAAATAATTTTGTTGCTTAGCTGTAATTATTAATGATTATGTTGATAATGTTAACGTTGTTGTGGTTTTACCATTATTGTTGTTACTGTTTCTGTTGTGGCTATTATTGTCCATCTGTAAACATTGTGCCCATGTGTACCGCAGTTAGGATGACCATCATGGCTTCCATGTCAAGGTGGACTCATTGAGCTACTTCAGGTTTTACAAACTACTCTCAAACTGAAAGGCTCCTGTGCTTGGCTAAATATTTCAGCTCCTCTTGTGCTTTGACTGGTTTGTTTCCATGATTGAAAGACTCATCCAGCTGTTTCAAATTAACATTAGTGGCACATGCATGATTATAGGAGGCTGACCAATCAGCACACAGCAAGTATTTAAGTGAAATCCAGGTCCTTTTGATTGAAATGGTAGTTTACAAATGCTGTCCTAGCTGAAGTGTCCCCCCTGACATGGATTATCTAGTCACCCTAACTGCAATGGGGAAGCACAGGTGTTGCTTTGTGGCACATTTATGTACACACTGCCTCACACTGCCTCACGCTGCCTCACACTGCTTGTATGACGACTCAAAAATGGGTGACACCACATGTGCAGCAGCGCCCCAGCTCCATGGCCCCATGCTGGGCTGTGAAGTCACATGTTCACCACTGCGGGGGGCAGACCAGTACCTGTTATTTCCCCCGGGGTCTGCTGGTGCTGCTCTTTCCGAGTGGTTCTGCCTATTCTCTGGACCTGCTTCATACGCGAGCGTAGCGACTTTCTGCCTCCGAGCTGAATGAGGAGGGTGTCTCCGGGCCCGAACGCCTCGTTCTCCGCAGCCTCAGCGGGGTAGGAACATCTAGAAGGGGCTTATGAATAAATCGCTGCTATAAGAATAGTGTTATTGTTTTCTTGGTTTGGGGCTGAATGCATCCCATTCAATGAACGGCCGCAGATTGCAGGGCTTCGCGTTTACACCCAGCCGTCATAAACGCGCTTCAAGTACAGTTTCAGACTGATTGCGAGAAATTACCTGCAATCGGATCCTGATTGGTTGCAATTAACTGCATGAGTCATTTCGGCCTTTTTGGAGACGACTTGCGTTCTGAGTATTCCTAACGATCCGCTTCCTCAGCCATTCTCGACCACGGCTGAATATGAAGGCGCTCGGCGGGAAGAAAACAAACAAATAACGCATCTCAGGCAGGTCCAGGCCGAAATACTGTTGTTGCCGCAGCCGTCGTGAGTTCAGGGTGTGACAGTGATATCAGTGACAGCCCCCGCACTGCCGCGACTTGCCCCCGATGCCTTTTAATTGGCTTCTCCGTCTTGTCGGGATGACGATGAGTTCAGCGGCGAGCCCCGCGTGGGCACCATGCCAGTGGGAGGGCGTGGCCACCTGCCTGCCTAACACTTCCCCTTCTCAGGCTGGCAACCTAACTCACTTAGCCGGTCGGTTCATTTGTTTGCTTGCTTTTCGGCATGGTGATTTTCTGCCACTGCATTTTCCTCCTCCTGTATCATGAGGTGTGTCCGAGACTCCACACTAAAAGACAAACCGAGTCACCATGTTCTTTAGCTCTACAGACCAGCAGGTTTGATGTGATTCATGTCAGCCAGCCTTGTTCACACCTATGGAGTGTTTTCAGTGGGGGCCGCTGGCCTTCGACAATTCCAGGGCTGAAATCATCCTCGGGAAAGATCATAAGAAAGTGCAAAGCACTGTTTATAGGAAGAGGAGGTCACATCACCCTAGACGGGGGGGGAGGGTCACGTAATGGGACACTGAATACTGAGCCGTTTATTGCCCAGTAAGGTGCTCAGCTTGTTTTGTGTAAATGATGACGCAAAAAGAAAGCTTTTCCATTGAGCATTGAGTTTATGCCAAAAGATTGCTTGCCCCCCTCCCCACAGCACCTACGCTCCCAGCACCAGACCATGAGCGTGGATGGATCTGCCAGCCAGCTCAGCCTGTACACCTCCCCCTCGCTGCCCAACATCTCCCTGGGCCTCCCAGCCTCTGTGACGGCCGCCAGCTCCAGCATCGCTGTAAGTGCTGCCCCGGCCGCCCCCCCGAATTTCTCCAGGGAGTTCTCAGTGACACGGTGGCTTCTTGGTATCGTAAGTGTGTCCGTCCCCCTGGGAGCTGTCAGCACTTTGCGGCTGTCAGTCCGTAAGCTTGAATTCCACATAATTACTTCACACAGTCAGCGGCTTCCGGATCACCAGCTTAGTTGGTTCAGACAACAGTAATGCCACTGAGAGGCAGGAAGACGCCTGGTCACACATCAAGCTGACGTGCCGTTTGCTTCATCTACCTCTAGCAGAAGTGTCATTAGCTTCCGATCATGTGACACCTACTTCTTTTGGTGGTACTTTGCTCGGAGGGTGTTCTGACCATTCAGCATGTCCTCCTTTCTTCCAGCCCCCACAGAAACTGTCCGCCCAGCAGGAGGCGGAGCGCCAGGCCATCCAGACCATGCGGCAGGGGGGCGCCCTGACAGGGGCCTTTGTTAGCGCCTCATCCCTGCCCGCGTGCCTGCCACCCGGCGTGCCCCATGACGCCGAGCCGGCGCCGGCCAACAGCCATGGCCACTCATCCCTGCTGCAACACGTGTTACTGCTGGAACAGGCCCGCCAGCAGAGTGCGCTGCTTGCAGGTGCCCCTCTCACCTCACCTGTACACCCTCTCGTCTGTATACACCTCTGCCCCCCAGCCTCACCTGTACACCCTCTCGTCTGTATACACCTCTGCCCCCCAGCCTCA